GTGGCAGTATGAGCAAGACATAACTGGACAGAAACAAGATGGCTGTAACCATGGAGCTTGACAAATCAATCTTCCAGATGTTGCTCAAATCATACCCTCTGAACAAGCACCTCAGATCATTTAAGACGTACCAAACAATAAAAGAGAACAAAATGAATATTCAATCATTCTTGATTGGGAAAAATAAGTCATTTTAGAGATTTCAGTTCTGGCAGAGACAATAACAGTAATCATAACTAGCACTCCTGTAGTACTTAGAAAGTGGTTTTACATGAACTGACCCTGTGTCTTGTAGTGTTTGTGTGGTGCTTAACCTTGATCTTGACTGGATTGAAACAGTCCTAGGAAACTAGTGAACCACATTTCAGAAGGTGTCCGTAAAGGCAGAGGGGACCCATGTACTTTAAAGGAGGACCCAGTGTGAATGTGGGTGGTACCATCCTGAGGGCTGTGGACAGATTTCCCCCTGCTGCTCCTGGTCACTATGAGGCAAGCTGTTCTGCACCATTTCCTCTGTGTCATGATAGACCCCAAACTCTGAAATTGTTACCCAAAATAAATCCTTCCATCTTTACATTATTTTTCTTGCTATTTTTCATACTGACTAAAAGTCTGAATAATGCCGTAGCCATTCTTACTTTCTTCATTTTACAGATGAACAAGCAGACATACAAAGCAGTTAGTAACTTGTATAAGGCCACACAAAAACCTCTGCATGCGTAAACATAAGTGATGGAAATCCAAACTCCAGTTGAAGCCAGCATCTGAGCTCTTAGTTATAGCCCACTCCAGTAAATCCACAGGCCACACCCAGGCACACAGGCACATCAGTCACTCAGATACACCAGGCATGTGTGCTGCTGTTCTTCCAGCGACACTTTCTACACAGAGGTGTCTTTATTTTACTTGTGTGGTTTGTCTGCACGTGTATCTGTGCACACCATACATTCTCGGTGCCTGGAGAGGCCAGAAGAGGGCATTGGATCCCCTGCAACTGGAGTTACATACAGATGTGAGTACAGGGCACTGGACCTGGGACCTCTGCAAAAGAAGCCAGTGCTCTTAACCACAGAGCCATCTCTCCAGTCCCACAGCATCATTTTCTTTTTCCTTTTTTTGTCATGTTTCACTGTCTTCACTCCTCAAATTTTTATGTTCCTTGACTATAAAATGATGTGAGGTGGGATGGGTTGAGGACAGAGCTTGGGAAGGAGTAAGGAAATACAGCTCATTCTGAAAGCACTTTGTTTATCTGCTTGTGTTCATTAAAATAACTTTTAGAGAGCAGCATCCGTGTGAGAATAGTTATATAATAAAATAAAGGATGAGAAAGAGTGCACTTGCCTGTCCTGAATGTCAGAATGCAAAATTTAAAGTTACGTATCTGCACGTGCAAACTTTCCTCTATGGATATTCATCAAAGCAGGAACAGAGAGCTAAGGTTTAACTAGTGGGCAGTGCTGGTGTACTCATGCATTGATGGCAGCAGCAGAAACCAAGTAACAACATTGACGTTGGCATTCTTCATTATAATCGGTCATCTCATATCTGAGAATTTAATGAAATCAGAAGATGGGAAAACTAGATGTTTTGTCATGATTATTATTCAAAATAATAAAAATTAGAAATGACCAAAATGTTGCTGTAATGTGATGTTTCATTAAGTCATGGTACATTGGCTTGCTCAAATAGTAGACAGCAATTTCATATCATTGTCAAAAGCTGTAAATGTATATAAGTGATTAACCCATAATACCAAATGAAAAACTCCTCAGAAATCATTTCTGGGCCTTAACTATGGGTGAACATATTTTATGCATATTAACTGATCTTTTCCTCATGTTTGTTTTCTGAGTGTCACATTATGGACACATTATAGATCAACAAATGGATCAACAATTTTATTTTCCTGTTAAGCCTATTCTCTTTTACTGAATTAAATCATGAAGAACTTGAAAACTGTGTTAGATGAAATCATAACACTGTGTGTTTAGGGAAGATATGACCTTGGACCAACACATTATAATATACGTGCTGGCATATCAGACTCTGACTGCTTCCCATGGGAAAGGTTTTATGATGATTAATTAATTGGAAGACTGTAAAATACTCTGAATTAACTACATGAAAAATTCCTGGTTATCAAAAACAAAATATTTATAAGATTTTTACATAGTTTTTCTTTGCTTTTATTGGTTTTAATTCTGCAACTTTGATTAAGATGATTTATAATCTCCAATCCCTTTCTGTAATTCAGCTCTAATCCTTTCAGATTGTATCACAGTATAAATAGGTAAGAAATAATGGTGCCTCATGCATACTAAGTAGAGGTAGTTCTCTGAATGCAAAACTGCAGGTAAAATCAAGGGGGCACTGCCATAAAGAGTGTCCATTCCAGTGTTTCTGAACATTTGGCATGGTGTGATACAATAGGCCGTGTGCTATGGCTTTGCTGTAATCCACCTCCAAGCCTAAACTGTGTGTTCTTAGAGGAGGAACTCCTCAAGAAGGTGCACTATTCCACAGTCAAGCAGGACCTTTCCACTAAAGTAGATGGTGGGGCCTGTTTTCATTTTGTTGATGAAAACCATTAAATATGGTACTTCCCAAATAGCCTGGGTAGATCAATAAAAATAATACCCTAGATATATTGAAATCATAATATGTGGCAAGTATTTACATAGCATATTATAGTTACTCTCATTTAATTTTCAAGATACTCCCCAAAGCAAGGCTGTCCAGGTTATAGATGAGAAAGCAGCTAAATTTCCAGCAAGGAAAATGTGGTGGTTTGAAAGAAAATGGCCCCCAAAGGGAGTGGCACTATTAGGAGGTGTGGCCTTGTTGGAGGAAGTGCATCATTGTGGGGGTGGACTTTGAGGTCTTTTTCTCAAACTTCCCTCAGTGTGACAGTCAGTCAACTTCCTGTTGCCTGCAAGATGTAGCATTCTCAGCTCCAGCACCACATCTGCCTGCATGCTGCTATACTCCCTGTCATGATGATAATGGACTGAACCTCTGAAACTGTATGTAAGCCACCCCAATTTAATGTGTTCTTTATAAGAGTTGCTGTGATCATGGTGTCTCTTCATAGCAATAAAAAAAGCCCAAACTAAGACAGATAGCAAATCCTTCAAACTGCATGTAACGCAGAGCTACTACTGAAAGCTATCTAAATCTTTAGAAGATTTTTATCTGTAATGAATTTTGTAAATATGTAGCTTACTGTGTAGAGATATACTGTTTTAAGGGTTGGGGAATTTGGAAAATGAATGGCAAAGCAACTGGAAACCTAGCAAAGAGAAAAGGTTCTGAAACTCATCCAGTGTCCTCATATTCAGTGAGGAAATTACTAAAATAAAAGATTTCTAAGTTATTGCTTGCATGTCTATTAGATGCTGTCCTATAATTAATGGTAGACAGTAGTATAGACACTATATTTCAATCATCTGTTAAGTAGATAAAGTTTGTTCCTTTGATTTCACTGAGTTGGTATTTATTATATTCATAATTTAAAATATTAAGGTAAGTACTTCATAGTTCTGATTTTCTCCTTTCTTTCATAATACAGGCCCAGTGTGCTTGCAGCAAGCCCTGTTGATTCATTCTCAGTATCTTCCAAATCCAAGCCATTCTCCACCACAACATCAGTGCTCTTGCTGTGGGATGTCTTTCTGTACAGCTGTGACTATGTGCTGCTCTGATTGGCTGATAAATAAAGCTGTTTGGCCTATGGCACGTCAGGTTATAGCTAGGTGGGAAATTGAAAAGAGAGACAGGAAGAAGAAAGGCAGAAGGGGAAAGAGACGCCAGCACTGTGAAGAGAAGCAAGATGTGAATACTGGTAAGCCATAGACACGTGGCAACTTTTAGATGAATAGAAATGGGTCAAGTTATAAGAGCTAGCTAGCAAGAAGCCTGCCATAGGTCATGTAATGGTAATTAATATTAAACCTCTGAGTGATTATTTTATAAGCAGGCTGCGGGACAGTGGGGCAGAGAAACCTCTCAACTACATGCTCTGGTTCATGCTATCATCTTCCAGATCTAGATTCCTATAACTCTGTCTACAGTCCCTTTCATTTCATATGTGGCATCTAAAGGGGTCTTTGGAAAATGGAAAATGCCTTACACGTAATGACTCTTGTCTTGGATCTGTTGACATTCTGCGTTTCACCTCTTTTTCTCATTGGCTGCAGCCATTGTGGTTTCGGAATAGAACTTTCTGTCTTGCCCCACTCCACTGCACTGGTGCTCAGCCTGCAATGCTTCTTTTCTGTAACAATTCACGTAGCTCCCCTTAGAGTTGCCTTGTCTTGCCTTCAGCCTAACTGAAGACCTGCCATCTTTACTCTCTAGTACTACTTCCAGTGACTTCACTAAGCCTAGCACTGTGTGATTTCTTCTTTGCTTCATTGATTACTTACTCACTCTGAATCTTCCCAAAGAGACAAGCAACTCTCTAAGGCCAAGGGTTGGGCATCTGTCATTGCTGCATCTGGGCCCTGGCCTCCAACCTTGCTCTCACCGTTGACTACTTGCCTAAGTCAAAGACAAACTATGGCAATACTAGATAGGAAGTCAAGTGTGTTGAAATATTGCGTCTTGTCATCGAATATCCAAAAGTAAAATACTGCAATTCTAAGATACAATTTCAAATGTATTCAAATGTAGAATTTATTTATGGCAGGCTCTTTTCTAAATGTTTGACTTAAAGGAGTTCATCTAATCCTATCAGAAGCCTTGGAAGAGAGTACGATTAAATCCCTCTTTTACTGATGAAACATGAGGGCCCTCCAAAAGTCCCTCCGAGGGAAGGGGGTTGGGCAGTGGAGCTGCTGTCTTTGAAGGCTTAAATAATAACTGTTTTGCCTGCCAGGGGAGGTTTCTACTGTACATGTTCTGAATAATATTTTTTCTGTGACATAGAATTGAACCTAGGGCCTCGTGCATGCTAAGTAAGTGCTTTATCACTGAGCTACAAGCTCAGCCCCTGATTTAATTAACATGGACTGCTACAGAATGTGCAAGTCATTCTTGTACAGGGCCCATGCTAACCTTCCCTGAAACATTTCATTTTTAGTATCCATGCTCCTGAAGCAAACACAGAATTCATTTTGTAAAAGATGTCTTACCCAGTGTCACTTTTTGTTGGATTTGAATTTGAATTTTTATTATTTTACATATTGACAAACTGTAGTTATACATACTCATGAATTACAAAATAATGTTTGATTTAATATATCTATTACCCTTGATATCTAATATTTTTGGTGATGAGAACACCTGAAATTTATTGTCTGTGATACAGAAACACACACTACTCCATCATTAACTCTGTTTAACAAGAAGTATATTTGATCTCAAAAATTAAAACCAACCCTCTTCCTCCTACCCAGCAAATCCTGAATCACTTTTTAACTCTGCTAAGGTTTCCATGGGAAAACATCAGCATGAATATCTAGTGCCCTAGGAACCAAGCCAAATGAACTAGGGGGGGAAAAGAATAGCAATTATCCATGGGCAGTGGCCCAAGAGCCACTCCAGGACCCTGAAACCTGCCAGCCCCCTTCCATCACTGATCTGGCAAGTTGACAATGGGTATTAATGATATTAACAAGGTCATGTGTTAAATATGCTTTCTCTCCCAAATCTCATCAGCTCACCGGTGTCATCTGGCTTGGCTTGCTTCACCTCGGGTGCACTGGCAAAGCCCCTGTCTTGGAATCAAGCAAGGATCGAACCAGCATGGGGTCCAATACACAAGGCCATCTGCCCGCTGTGAATCTGGGAGATTTCTCATACTTCATGAATGCTAACAAAGAAGACAATTTCTGGGCTAGGCATGATGCTGATTCCCCAAAGAAAGCACAAGGATTCTCAGGATACTCTCACAAATAGGCAGGGACAATCACAGTCTACCATTTGCTCTTTCTGAAGCTTTCTTAAAGGCATAATTGACTCATTCTCACCTTTCAGAAAAAATTCACGGAATAACCATGTCTCACTACAAAAGCATAGTGCATTGATAGCATGTACCCAAAGACCCATAAATAAGGACAAAAATATTTTTGCTATATAATTGGTAACTTTTCTCAAGTAATTATGTAATTAACCTAGCTCAGAGGGCAAGGTGAGACAACCTGGCACTGTACCAATAGATTTTAGCCAGTATCAATGAATCAGCAGCCAAAAGAAAATCTTGAGGACTGAATGTTGAAAACACCATTTTCTTCTTGTTTTCTATAATTAAATGTGTTCTTGATTTTTCTTAACACAGGCATGTGCCTTCAAGCAGTTACTTATACATCTATTTATCGGAAACTATAAATGTGTGGAGACAGTTCCTTGGTAGTAAATATTCAGGGATGTGAAATTATTAGAAATTAAGCATTTCTTTGGCCTATTATTCCTATCTGATTGAGCTCTGCTTCATTATAATCTACGTTCACTAATCTCAGTACCATTTATTTTGCATATTGTAAAAAATAGTGAAACGTAGAAAAAAATAGGCCAAAGAAGAACATTTATAATTGTAACTGCTGGCCACTTTTACTGTTTGGGTTTTTAGTTATACCTTAACAGTACATGAATTTTTCTGACCTGTTCTGAATACAAAATTTAAATATATTTGCTTGAGTCCTGCTCAAGTTTGGTAAACAAGGTTTTGAGGCTCTTGTGAGATGTTTATGACAGGTGACCTAAGGTATCACGTGAAACCAGTCAGGTGATCTGGGCCAGTCTCAGTGACAACAGAGAATTCAGTCGAATGGAAGAAGGTAAAGAATATGGAGACTCTCCATCTTCCAGTTTTATTTTGCTATAATGGTTTATATCTTGTTCTTTCTTTTTTTGGTTTTTCAAGACAGGGTTTCTCTGTGTAGCTTTGCGCCTTTCCTGGGACTCACTTGGTAGTCCAGGCTGGCCTCGAACTCACAGAGATCCGCCTGCCTCTGCCTCCCGAGTGCTGGGATTAAAGGCGTGCGCCACCACCGCCCGGCCTATCTTGTTCTTTCTAAAGAGAGATGGGGTGAGAGAACCTAGTCCCAGAGAGAAGTCTCTTGGACTCCCACCAGGGACAGCACAATCCAGAGAAAGAATTGTTCATCACCAGCAGCTCCATTATTTTAACTTGTAAACTAAGTAATTCAGCATTAGCAACCCTGGCCTTTGAGATCATAGGGTAATTATATACTAAAGTAAAAACACGAGATTCTGAGAGATTGGGTGACCTCAAAAATCAAACAGCTGAACCTCTTTATTTTAGAGGTGAAGAAAATAAAATTTAAAGCGACTAGATGAATGAGTCAAGGTCACACCTTGCAAGCGGCAATGCTAGTCCTGGGTTTCAGGTACCTTACCTTGTAGCTTAGACACCATCTCTCAGTGTACCCCTGAGTTTGGGAGGTTTGAGAACAAAAGAAATACCTTAAGACCGCAAATTCTTCAGGAGATAAATTCTACTCAGAAGTAATCTCCTTTCTATAATTTGTGAATCTGCTCGAGATGCAGTTACCAAAGTCCCTTTGCTATAGCTGGGACCAGTCATTTACTGACTACCACCTCCCGAAAGACAGTGGCACACTTGGCCAACGATGCTCATCCTGAGCCCATTGAACAGGTTTCTGAGAATTCTTTTAGTAAGTTGATCTAAGCAGAAATGCCACAGAATTTCCACTTGACATAGAGTTTCCAGAACTTCTCACCATGGGCACAAAAGCAAACAAGCAAATTGTTTCAGAGAACAGTTGCTCTTTTGACAAGAGATAGGAGCTTCCGGCTGTATGCATCAGTTCAGAAGTGTTTTTCACCGTAAACCTGAGGATCTTTACTAGGGAAAACCAAGGACTGTACAGACACACAAGTCTAAACCTGGTGTTTTTCAAAGTATTAGCATGTAGACTAGGAAGACTTGGACAGAAGTCATCACTTCAACGTATATTGAGGCAATTGCTTTTCCTTAGCATTCATTAAATACTTTACTTGTTTTGTGTAGAATCTATCTGTCTGCATGGTAACTGTAAAATATGCTATTATTGGGTATTGAATTTCTAAGATGGGTCTTTTAAGACCTGCCAAATATATTACCTTTGTAGATCAATTCTACTCAACGATCTTTAGGTGTTGAAGTTAAGGCCAAGTGTAACTTTGGGTTAAACTTGCCTGTTAATATAAGCAGAAGTAAGATAATTTTCCTTTAAATCTGAGTAATTGCTTTCATCCTCTACTGTAATTGAACCTTGAGACACAGCCAAAGAAATATTTTGCAAAGGGTTTTATCTTAGTTTATAGATAGATATTTATTATACAACATAAATGGAACACAATACAAGCTTTAAAAAAAATAAAGGATATCTTAAGAATAAAGCATCAAGACTATTCAAACTACCATCTCTTCCCTGGAAGTGAAAGCTGATTTTTTTCCCCTCCAACTATTAGACAGTTTGCTGATGCCAGCTAGCTGCTAATTTCCTCTCCCTTATTGGGGGTGTCTGCCTCTATCTCACTTCCTGCTTTTAGGCCACAGCCTTGGAGTTTTACTAGTTGATAAATGTTCCAAATTTTGTCAGAGCTCTTCTCTGCACCCTCTTCATCAGGGAGCCTCTATTAGGTGCTGGTTCTTCTTAAAGCCAGCTCTTAATTATCTGGATGCCAATTAGCCGGGGTCTGGAATCAGACAGACTCTGCTCATTCTCTCTTTCTTCCCTGCCGCCTGCCTTTTGGCCACAGTACAGCTTGTTAGCTCCTTCATGAATGGAGGCAGGGCAGAGGTAGAGATAAACACCTAGAAACTTGAAGAAGCCCATTTTGTTATTTGGAAGCTCTGGTTGCAAGTTTACCAAGGCTAGATATTAAAAGCACACAATAAAAGCAAACTCTCTTGTGTGTATCCCATTGCCAAGCTCTCTCAGATTCCCATTGCTGGAATTACGATGGAAGCTGCCAGCCTTGCACTGGTGCTTTCTTCTGTGGCAGGAAAGCCTGTTCCATACGTGTTTTTGCTTGGGGTTGAACCCTTTAATACCAACAAAGACAGGCAAGTCAGCTTTCCTGGAAATTCAGGCACCATGTTATAAACTTACCACATTGTTAACTGCAGTAGTGCCAGATAACAATGGAATTAATATTTCTGTTGTATTTCCAGTCTTTTTTTTTCTTGAATTAAAAAAGTGGGGCTATGGGAGAAATCAAGGAACAAATATGCTTTTATATAAGACATGCAAAAATGCCATGCCAAATTTTCATTTAAGATTGATTATTATTATTTTGCATCTATGGAGGTACAAAAATAAAATATCACTGAGTCCTATGAATACATTTTTAACTCATTTTTACTGGTTGTTCACATGTTTCTAAGGGTAACTCTCCATTTTAGAGAAAATGTAACTTTGAAGAGAGAAGTCTCTTCCTCATGGGATTTGATGGTGGTATTTGATTCTGACAGGCAGGGGCTGCTGATCACACACCCTGTGTAGGAAGCACGGATCCTGAAGTTCCATCATCCTGGCATTAAGCCATTTGATATTAGAATATTTCAGAATAAAAAGATCTGAGAACTGGATTTTCCTTCCTATCTACCATACTTTGTAGCTGACATGCCTAAAAGTCCCCCTTCAATGGAGAAAAAGACAAAAGAGAAAGGGAAGGCATATAAAATAAATGTAGACATAAAGAGGAATTTGGTACCTTTGAAGGGGATGCTAAACAGCCTACTGTATCTCTCGGGAAGGATAGGAGTGTCTTTGAAGATAAACATTTTCATGAATAACTTAAATGTGATTATGTGTGAGAGACTGTTTGGTTGAGCTGCTCCTTAAAGAGAACAAAGCCAAGAACACTGTTCAAATCTTTGTGCTAACTCTACAGTGACCTTAAACAATACACACTACCTCCATGGGATTGAATGTTCTCAAGGGTAAATTTATGAAGGAAGGGGATGATGCCCAATGGCTTCACTAAGATTAAATGTAGAACAAGTAAGAAGTCCTGCGAAAGTTGTCTAGATCAGTGAGTGTTTCTAGAAGATATGCTATTTATAATAAGGTTCCTTTCAATTTTCTAGAAATAGACAAGTGTCCCAGATAGTTTAACTTGTAACTCTA